AACTAAGCTTCTCCAAAAATCTTCACCACAATTGATTTTAGGACTATCAGCAAAAGAGTCTCCACAAAAGAGTTCAATGTAGGTAAACTTCCTATTTTCCTGTTGCTCTATATTACTTGGCCTGGAAGAAATCAGCACTCAGGTGCTGAATGGCCCTTTACTAATTTCTCACAAACATTTATTTATCCAGTATAGTAGTTTGTAGAAGTGTGTGTGTGCAAAATGTGATTAAAAAAAGATTCTTTAACAAGGCCTCTGGCCTTGAGCTGGAGCTTCACAGAGATGTCTACATTTCTAGGATGAGAAGTTACCAATTGGCCTCATGGTAACATCTGACAGGGGGAAAGAAAGGGGAGAAGAAGTTCCCCTTGAAGGGTTAACTGCCTAGAGCAGTGAAAGAAAAAGCTGCTTTTATGTGAACTTCTGCAGGCTGTGAACTTCTGAGCCCCTCCCCTTACATGCTGGTATAAAATTCTGAAACTACCTATACTTGGGTTCAGGGGATTAATTGATTACAGCAAGAGCTGTACCCTCTGAACCTGGCTGCGGCCAAGTAAAACTGTTTTCTGCTATCTTTGGTGCCTTGCCTCATCTGTCCCCTACGACATTAATACAACAGTAAAATCTCTAAGGCTTAGAAAAGGATTTCTCCTCTCTTTTTGACCATTCTGAAGCCATCTAGGTTTCTGTGTTATCTTTTTCTCTTTGTTACCAAAAATCTTCAGCAAAATCCATACCGATGAAATTATCTCCATAGTTAGTGTTTCTTGCTGTGCAGAGGAAATCCCACTGAACCAGGAATGCTCATTCCCAGAAATCATGGCCAACAGGGGAGAAAAGATTTGGATTGCAGAATGTGAGCAGGAAAGGTAGGCCTGGGTCAGAGCAACAGAGGATAGTCAACTCCCCAGAGGCACGTCTTGTGGTTTAGGCCATCTTGATATGGTCCTTTTTCATTTGGTTGCAGTGCGTCAGTCCTTGATGAGGTGTTTCAGTAAACTGTAAACTATGGGGAAGTTATTCTTTGTCTTCCTGGAACACGCTATGAAAAACTTTTCTTACTAAAGAGCAATTATTACTGGATTCATACTGAGGATTGAACCCAAGGCCATGAGCATGCTAAGCACATGCTCTACCTCTGAGCTATATCGCTAGCCCAAATGCACTTTTTATCGACAATGTTGATGAGCTCTTGACAATATATGAGAATTCCCCTTTTATTAAGAGTCCAGAGTTACAGGACAAAATGTATAGGGTTTTTGTCATGATTTTAAATGGAGAAAGATGGTTTCTCCCATGGAGATAGGCTTTAAACTGGACACAACTGTGGGAAGAGCTCTTGAGGTATGGCAGTGTAAGAGTCAATACATTTTACCAATTGAACATTTATAACATAAATGCTCTAGAATTGATCAGATTCTATAGACGTTGGTATGATTTTTTTTCCAGCGAAATTGGGACTTTTATCACTGTTTAATCTCCTAATTTGGACTCATTATCATTTTAGAAGCACTTTCATAGCTGTAGCTCATCTATAAAGAAAGGCTTTTATCCAATGAGAGAACCTATGAATCAATACTAATAAACATGTTAATAGTGCAGTTATACAAATATGACTCAAAGAATGAGTCATTTTAAAAATGGTTAAATACCATTTTTAAAAACCATTTTTCTATGTGATGTAACAACAAACAAGGTAGTTTATTTTTCTCAGCCTTCCAAAGGTCTTATGGGATGTTTGAAGTTCTTTTGAGACCCAAAAGACTTAATTTTAGAATTTGATTTGGAGAAGTTTGTCATATATTAAGGGTTTAAAACAATTGATCAAAATAAGATCATAGGTCACTGTGAAATAATAGCTATTTATTTAGTCACTGTGATTTATGAACCAGATTTAACCACCTATAAAGTGATCAAGACTTTCAAACAAATAGATTAAAAAATGTAATTCTTCAAAGCAGACTCAGTTTTTCTTTTATCAGAACTTTAATAAAGACAGCAAAAAAAAAAAAAATCTTGACAAAACACAAAATCTGTGCTTTTTAGATTAATTACCAAAAAGTAAAGAAAAGCCTGTACTGTGATTATTTCTCCTGTAGGAAAGCAGTTTAGATCACTTGGGAGTCAAACTAGTCCCTGGAGCAGAGAAATACATGACTTTTAGAAACAGTGAAAAGCACATAAAATGATCTGGTTACATGGAACAATCTGAATACATTAAGAAAAGCAAAAAGCAAATAATAAAGTTATTTTAGCTGTTAGCACAAACATTTTTAATATCAGGCCCTAACAGCAGAATCAGAACTGGGGAAAAAATAATACACTTATAGGAGCCAATAAAAGAGTTGAGGGAGTCATGCTTACATGTGCATTGCAAAACAGGAAAAGCCAAAGTTCAAAAGATGGTTGAAAATTTTTTGAAAAGCAGATTTTAGAATTAAAAAACAAACCTCTTGCAATTTTTTTTAACTAAGAACAGATCACTATTTCAAGAAAAACCTATTGTTTTAAACATAGTAGACAAAATTTTGTTTTCAATATAGTATGTGGATGCCTAAGTTTTAGACAAATCTACAAAAAGTTTTCTTTTAATAGCCAACTTGGTGACATACAACTCTTCTTTAATAAGATTTGTCCTTTAAAAACCTTTTATGACTTGCTTAAATCTTTAGTTTTATATTATACAAATATTTTTCATTCTGGAACAATCTAGTCCTTCAACTTTCAGATAAAAATTTTATTCTATCATGCCAGGCATGGTGGCACATGTGACATGTACATGCACATGGTAATCCCAGTGACTTCAGAGTCTGAGGCAGGAAGATTGTAAGTTAAAAGCCAGCCTCAGCAAGCGAGGCACTAAGCAACTCAGTGAGACCATGTCTCTAAATAAAATACAAAATAGGGCTGGGGATGTGGCTCAGTGGTCGAGAGCCCCTGAGTTCAACCCCCAGTACCACACCCCCCAATTTTTTTTATTCTATCCCAAAATTCTTTCTCATACAACAACAAAAAATTCTTTTTAAGTTTCTATACCAAAAATATATCCTCATATTTATAACATTCTTTATATCTTTCCCCACTACTTATTAGTTTCTTTTGGTCTTGTTTTTATTCCTTTTATTAAATTTACTTAAAATCCTAAAAATTTCTGAATTTAGATAAACTTTGCCCTTTAAATAAAATATTTTGTCTTTTTAGAGTTTTTTATTACACATCTTATTTTTTATATTCTTTGTACAGAGAATTTCATGTTCATTATACTTTTAAACTCTTAGTGAAAACTAGTGAGCACTGAGAGTAGTCCTATATCAACATTTGCCATTTTATAATTTCTAGAAAGATATGTTTTCTCAATTTCTTATGATGATTAATAGATTTTATATATTTAGGTTTTCTATACCAAGTAGAAAGAAGATGTCAAAATATATGTAGTTTTATAATTAGTAATTAATGTTTTTGTATTTTAACTTACTTGGAAATGACTTAGACATTTTATAAATATCTGTACAACAATATAACTTTAAGATTTTTAATTTACCAAAAGATTTTTGAAACTGTTTTTATTAGATATCTATTATATAATTATTGTTTTGAAATAGTTGGTTTTTAAACTTTGATTCCATTCCTTTATATCATATATAATTTACTTAATTTTAATAATTGTGTTTGACTTCTTTATAAAGTTCTTAGTTGATACTTTATTTATTTTTTTAAAACAAAACTAAGCTAACCACTGAGCCATAAACACAGCCCTTTTTATTTTGAGACAGGGTCTCACTCAGTTGCTTAGGGCCACCCTAAGTTGCTGATACTGGCTCTGAACTTGCAATCCTCCTGCCTCAGCCTCTCCAGGTGATTATAGGCAGGCACCACCATGCCTGGCTTTAGCTAACCTTGTCTTAACCAAGGCCTCTGAGACATCAGACACAGTATCCTTCCCAATCCCTCCTTCTCCCTAGTCAGGTGGTGTCCCAAGCACCTATATGGCTCTCAGGGCAGCTATGAAACAGGGCCCATATGGTCTGGGTCCTTTGATTTATACACTGGGTGTAGAACCTAGGACAGAAGACAGGCGGCTGTGAATGCCTGTGGGCTCTGACCCCTTACATAATGGCCAGCAGGCAGAACCCAGCCAGGGAGAATAGCCCATATTGGTTTAGCTTTGCCTTGTAGCTGGTGGCTTAAAAGTTTCAGACACATACATATGTCCCCAGGTTTTACCATGGCTACCTGCCTCCTTAGAATATGGAGGCTTAAAACTGAAGACAGCTCACAATAAGAAATGACCAAGGATTTTGGGAGCCCAGCAGCTGGCCATTACAGCTTTAACTCACTGCCAAGTCAAGCAAGCATCAGAAATATAAAAGAAGCAACTGTTTTATGACCTTACGTCTAGCAGAGACAATATAATCTGCCTGACTGGTAGACCCAAGCAAAAATGTCCATTATATTTAAATGCTGACAATTTTTAACATATTTTTATTTCATTTTACTATTTAAAATCTAGCTTTATTTACCAAAGATTTATTGACCCTTATGAACAAAAAGTGGTTTGGATTAATTACTCTATATGGATTTTAAGAGGATAATTTTTGTTTTTTATAAGTGCTGAATTAATTTGCTTAAATTAACTAAAATATAGTTTTTATAAATCAGTGGTAGAAAAAAGTCACACATTTATAAAATATACATATATAGACACAAATGCATGGACAGAAATAGATTTTTTAGTTTTTGTCTGTGAAGCTCATAGCCATATCTAGGTCCTGTATTTTAAGATAGATAAGTTGGGGTTGGAAAATGAAACAAATTAAGGTTAAGAAAGAACTTTTAAAGAGTTAATTTGCTCAGATTTTAAATAGTGAAAGTAGTGTCAAGGGAGCTTTTAGAAGCATATTTTAGTTTTTCTTTCGGTTTGTTTTTGAGTATCTAGTACGTTTTAGTTCAGTTGAGAAAGCAGGAAAAAAAAAAAAAAACAACCAAAACAAGTTACTTACCTTTCTTTCTTGAGCCAAAGGAATCTTCTGAGAAGAGGGATTTAGAGAATATCTAGCTAATTTTCTGGTGTTTATATTTGAAGTACAAGATAGGCAGCAGGCTGCCAGAAACAGAGAGAGAAACAGGGAGGGGGAGAGGAGAGAGAGAGAGAAGAGGGAGGGAGAGAGGGGGAGAGGGCAAAAACACAACAAGCAATGGAGCGCCTCAGTGTGGCAAGAGAGACATCACAGGATTTTTTTTTTTTTTTTAATTGAGATGGTTGCTAGGTAATCTGAGAATTACTTTCCCTGAAGGAAGCCATAGTTGATTTTCTATTTAACTTTTTTTCCTTTTTTTAAACTACCAATGTATTTTATTTGGCTTTACTTTGCTTTTCCAATTGAAAGCACACATAGATCAATTTGGAGGTGTTAAAAGATCCCCAAATTGTTTCAAATCATGCAGTTTATAGTAATCTGTGATAGAAGCCACAAGAAACGGATACAATCTTTCCCACATTCTGCCCTGCTAGCCTGGGATTATTTTGAAACAAATGACAGATACTATATCACTTTGCATATGCTGGCATTTATGTCTAATACTTCAAGACTGTTTACTAAACATAATCACATTTTTTTAACCATGCCAAAAATTTATAATTCCTTAAATTCAGCAACTATTTAGCATTCAGATTTCTCCAGTTGTTCCATAGAATTTCTTTAAAGTTGGATTATTCGCACTAAGACCCAAGCAAGATCCACAAAAGGCAGTTGAGTGACAAGAATAAATGTATCTACAGATGTGACTAAATGAACACAAGAGAGTCAGGCAGAAGGTGTGGGGATGTGTGAGGAGTTTTCAAAGCCCAGAGTGAGAAGGTGCCAGGTGTAGAGGCACTGGAAGGGACAAAAGTTGACCTGGAACAGAGGATGGCTCTGTTCTGTTCTTTGTTATTTCTCCACCTATTAAAAACAACACTGAAGAATCCATAGTGGACCTAGAGCTCTTCAGATGCATGTAAGGAAAAAAACAAAAACAAAAACCATTTTTATTATCATGAATAAAATGGATCCAAATGAAAAGAAAATTTCATCATCCCTTTACTCAGAAAAGTATCAAAAAACACAAAGAACTTTTTTTTTCCTGTACATACCTGAGACTGTCACACTTGATTCTGTGACAGACAATGTCTCAGATAATATAGTAGAGTTCCTGGGCAAGATCAAACAGGCCACATCATCTACCTTCTTCTCTAGTATTTGGCTTTTTAGGGGTACTGGGGATTTAACCCAGTACCACTGAGCCTTACCCCAGCCCTTTTTAAATTTTTATTTTGAGGCAGGGCCTCACTAACTTGCTATGGGCAACACCACGTCTCCATCTGCCCCACACTTTAAAAGGGAGCACTCAGGAAATTTCAGGATGTTCTTCTTTCTTCTTCTTCCCTTCCCCCTTCCTGTCCCCTCCCCCTCCACTTTCCCCTCCCCACCCTCCTTTTCCCTCCTCTTCCTCCTCCTTCTCCTTTTTCATCTTCTTCCTCTCTCTCTCCAGTCTCCTTTGGGTAGTGACCACCTTCATGGCTGCACACTTCTCCCATGAGGAGACATTTCAGTGTCTGTTTCTCTTCTTTTTTTCTCTCCTCATGTTCTAGGTTATCTCTGTGGGGTCTGGAGTAAATCTGAGTGAACTTGAACTCATCATCCAATTGGCAACATTGGCTTTGGCCCCCAACCTACACTATGGTTTAATCTCCATGCTGCAGTATCCAGGGAGAGCATGCACTGTTTCTACAACTTACTTTGAAAAATGTGAAAAAAATACATTCGATTGAGGGAGAGAGTGGTGGAAAGATGGGCACATAAGGTAAAACCAACATAATTAATTATCAATTTTTCCATCTCTGTGGTGGGTATCTATAGGTCAGGTATTTCTTTCAAATTTTCTGGATGTGTGAAATTTGCACAATGAAATTTTGGGAAAATATGTAATAATTATTAAAAATTTTATAGTTTAAAGTGTTATGGAAATCATAAATAATAAAAGGGAAAACCCACATGGCATCATTTCCTAAGGATAAACCACTATTAAAATCTTTTGGCCAACATCCTTACAAACTATACCTAGGAAACCATGAAGAGCTATTTGGCACAAAAATAGAGTACCTTGGCAAATTTGCATTGTTCATTTATGTTATCATGAGGCTCTGACTGTCTAGAGAGCTTGTCATCATGTGATGTGCCCTAAATACTCAGCACAAGGGTCTGGAGAGTGAATCTAAGGATCTAGTTACCTTTACATATTTCATTCCTTTCAAAGGGCAGAGTAAGCAGTGAATTAGCATTTGCTGAATGAATGAAGGAATAATCTTATGCTTCCTAAAAATGGATGTAGAGGTGTTAGTCCTAATTTATTTGTTAGTTTCCTATATATCTTTTTAAAATTTTTTTAGTTGTTGATAGACTTTCATTTCATTTATTTATATGGAGTGCTGATAATTGAACCCAGTGCCTCACATATGCCAGGCAAGTGTGCTACTGCTAAACCACAACCCCACCTCCTATATATCTTATAATAATTTTTGGCTCATGACTTTTATTTAGCTTAAGTTCAGGAAGCTTTCATCTTAAAATGTTCTCCTTCACCACAAAGGAAATCTATCTTAAAATAGGTCCTATGTATGTGATTAAAGGACTTTAGTTCCTTATTTTTTGTGGCTATTCTCAAAGTCTGAGAGCCATGTCCCCACTTTTTGTAAATAATTTTTTCTTAGCATCTCTTCATCTATCTCATCCCCTCTCTCCTACTGGGACCATCCCTATTTAGATACTTCTCACCCATCCCTGAAACTCTGCAATCCCTGATGGTCCTCTGCTCTCATGTCTCTACTCACATGGTTTAGAACAGTATTACTTTCATCCTTTCCCACTCGAATCAAAATGGTGTTTTGAAAGATCTGCTTTAATGTCTAGTGTAGCTCTCACACACTTCCATACCTGTGTTCTTATTATGACCAAGAAATTCAGTCAAACGCAGAACTCTAGATTGGGGTCTAGAAAACTGATGAAAAATTATATTGTAGCCCAACTTTTTCTTCACAGGTTATTTTTATAATTTTCCTTGAGAGTCAAGATTCTGTATTCAAGAAGGCTGGTCAGAAGAGGTCAGTGTCCCAAGAATGAGCAGGCATTATTTTTCTACTATCCTCTTACTGACAGGTCTAAAATGGTTAACAGCTTCATTTACTTTTTCAAGAGAAAGGAAATAAGAGATTGTGGTTTTCTCTCTAATCAAAGTGAGGACTTGGCCTCTTTTTGATCAGATGACCCTATTAGGAGATGAATAATCATTCCACTCAAATCAGCCACACTTTCTGCATCTATGCCAATCTTGACAGACAGAAACAAAAACAAAACCCTGAATGCTTAAAAGCTTCCTGTCTTGGGTTTCACAATGTAAAAAGGGGTTCACCTTTATTGCATGCTAATTTTTCTTTATTTATGCATTTAATCCTTAGAAATCCATTGAGATGATACATCACAAAAATTTTTATTATTTGCATAGCCAAATCCAGATGTAGAGAGCATGTGTGATCCTCAGCACTACAGCCTACAGCTGTGATAGACATTGTTTGAATCACTACTAGCAAACACTGATGTGATCCCTAGGGTTTGCTCTCTGTTGTGGTGTTCTGTGCACAGATTAAGTGTGATTCACATGGCTAAAGATCTGGCCCCTAAATAATCCCAAGTCCTTGGCAACACCATTTCATCTTTGTTGTGTCTCCATCCCTTTCTCATCCTGTTATATATCCTATGCCCATTGGTAGACCCAGTATTACCAGTTCTCCCAATTATCCCCTACTTAGCATGGAGGATTCACAACCAATTCTACAGTGTTACCCAACACAGGCCATGTTAGCATTCCAAGGATTCTCCCTATGTTCATTCATTCTTTCTTTTTTTTTCCTCCTCCCTCCTTCCTTCCTTCCTTCCTTCCTCTCCTCCTCCTCTTCCTCTTCCTCCTCCTCCTCCTTCTTCTTCTTCTCTCTCTCTCTCTCTCTCTCAACCCGCCCCCTTTCTTTATCAGGGATTAAACACAGGGACGTATAACTACTAAGCCATATCCTCATCCCTTTTTATTTTTTATTTTGAGACAGGGTTTTGCCAAGTGGATTAGAGTCTTGCTAAGGGCCTCACTAAGTTGCTGAGAGTGACTTTGGACTTGTGATCCTCTTGCCTCAGTCTCCCGAGCTGCTGGGAATTACAGTGAATAATACTTTATAAAAGATGGCGGTGAGGGGAGTGCATTGCCCCCGTGTGCTGCTTCACTGTGTGGGAGTATGACAAGTCAGGACGGCTAAAGGATATCTTGTTAGGAATTTCCAGCAATAGTGGGGTGCTCCAGAACCTGGAGGAAGGATTTCCATCACACGAGGATCGGCTATGGGGACTCAAACGCGAGAGGTTTGTCGCATGGAGGGTAACACTGCTTATTCAGCAAACCGCCCCGCGGCTAGAGTCTGCAGCGCGCGCTGGGAAACGAGGAGATAGCGACGCAGGGATACAGCGCTGCAGTTTCTGCCAGCCTTGCAAGCACCGTACTCAGGGCTGAATTCTGGGTTCCAGACGGGGGAAGGAAGCGGTCCATCTCGGTTCTCCACACCGGTCAGACCACAGAGGAGGCCAGCAGCCACCATGTTGGAAAGCTGACGTCACCATCCCTGTTTTCGACTGACCGCAGCTCATTCAGCCATAGAACAGGTAATTTCAGGCTGCAGTTCGCCTGCGGCTTGCAGACAGATTGCTAGGGTTCAGTGCCTGGGTGCTTCTTAGAACCTGATCTTATCGGAGCGAACACCGAGCGCCGGGCGGCCGAGTTCCGGCTCCCGGAACCGTCCCGGAGCCGCCCTGGCCCAGGGCTGCGGAGCCTGCGGAGGCTGCTTCTTGGACCCTGCTCCTATCAGAGCATACACCAAGCACTAAGCGGCCGAATTCCGGCTCCCGGAACTGAGCCCGCGGGGACTGCTTCTCGGAGCCTACACTTATAGGAGCTTACACTGAGCACGGAGCGGCCGCGTTCCGGCTCCCGGAACTTCCCTGGCCCGGGGCTAGGAGCCCGCGGAAACTGCTTCTCGGTCCGGGTCCTGCTGAGGGCCGGTCAGGACTCACCCGTTGCTTT